AAGCAGCTGCTTTCATCTCAGATGATAATCCCAGGGTCCTGGGAACAAGTCCTGCATGGGGCTCCTTGTTCAGCAGGGAGCCTGCTTCTCCCTCTCCCACTTCCCCTGCTTGTGTTCCCTCTCTTGCTGTGTCTCTCTCTGTCAAATAAATAAATAAAAATCTTAAAAAAAAAGTCACTGGGTAGCATACAATGGAACTTATCAATTTTCAGGATCTTGAAGCCACATGGGTGAAAAGCATAAATAACTTCAAAGAATGAAGTTAACTGAAATAAATTTATGGCTAATGACTCCATCAAAAGTAAGAAATGTTCACAGAATGTCTCAAATGTGGTTGAAGTAGCTATCGTAGGTAGCTATCACAGACAGGTACTTCATAGGTATCATAAGTGCAGCAACCCACTTTTACAAAACCTCATGAACAATTCCGAGGGGGAAAAGAAGAACTGAGACAAGAAAGGGACACAGAAATTTCTGTCATTATCAAGGACTGGAAAAGAGACTAAATGGGTTATCACTCTGATCCAACAGGACATTTCTGATGGTCTTCTTTTCAATTACTCCACTAACTCACTTATCTGATACTGATTGTGCACAAGGCAGTATAACAATTGAACAACACCTAAGACAGTGTTTGACAGCTTCTAAGACATTCCATTTTTTCTATTTATTTGTACTAAACAACTCTGAGATGGGCAGACCACCACTGTTTTCATTTTCCTCCTTACAGCATCTGTCTATAATTGTTGTGCTTGTCTTTATCATTTTACTCAAAATGCACTCTGGTTACCATTGATCTTTCCTTGGGTAAATACTGTGGCTTTACAAAAATGTTTTCAATTCATCTTGACCTCTCTATGAACATAGAAGTAATCACTAGGGCATGATTGTCCCAATTTTCATTCTACTCTTTTTTCTAATTCCTTTGGTTAGAGGTTGGGGTTCTAGTCCTTTTTTTGCCACTAAGGCTGGTGTGATCTTGGACAAGCCTCTTGTGTCCTACAACCGATATGTGTGAAGCCACTCTGTACATTGCAAAGCATTTAAAAATATGATTATTGAAGTAGATGATCTCTAAATTTCCCTCAAGGTCTAAAATTTTTAGTTTATATTTTTAGTGAATTCATGTGATCCAAGAATTGCATTTTGGCACATTTTAGAAGTCTCCTTCCATTACACCAAAGCTGCTGCTGATTCAATAAGTACAGAATGATTTAATAGTAGCACCAAAAACAGTTAATTCTTCAGTTGCTGAGGTTGAAAATTACCAGAAATGATGCATGATTTTAAGGAAAAGACTGAGTCATAGTCAACACCTAAAAACTTTATTTTCTATGTTAACCACCCCCTAACTTTTGCCCTTCTAAAATCTGACAAATTTAAATCTTTTTTTTTTTTGACAAATTTAAATCTTAAGATGGAAGCAACTGAAATCACATGGTATGCTCTCACACAGCACTTTTTTTTAAAGATTCTTATTTATTTATTTGACAGGGAGAGACACAGCGAGAGAGAGAACATAAGCAGGGGGAGTGGGAGAGGGAGAAGCAGGCTTTTCACGGAGCAGAGAGCCTGATGCGGGGCTCGCTCCCAGGACCCTGGGATCATGACCTGAGCTGAAGGCAGACGCTTAACATCTGAGCCACCCAGGCGCCCCCTCATACAGCGTTTTGGGGCATTTTGCTGGATATTGTCAGTGTTGGAATAGTGACTACAACAGGCAGGAAACAAATGAGGAGGTTCATCACATATACACATAAAATCATCGTCAAATGTCAGAGTTGGAAGGACTTCTAAAACTCATTTAGACTGGTGGGTCCTGGAGTGTTTGATTTCAAAAGCTTATAAAAGTTCAAAATAAACAGCAACAACAAGAGGAGGGCAAACGTAAAAATGTGTTTTTAACTTTGACAAATAAGGATACCAACAAAAGAACAAAACAACCATCTTCCATCAGCACCATTTTATAAAAAAGGTCACTTTAATGACATGTGTAGGACGATAAAATCTCAGAATAAAGTACAATTTGAAATTAAATAAATGAAGGGGCACCGGGGTGGCTCAGTTGTTAACCATCTGCCTTCAGCTCAGGCCATGATCCTAGGGTCCTGGGATCGAGCCCCACATCGAGCTCCCTGCTCATCTAGGAGCCTGCTTCTCCCTCTCTCCCTGACTCTCCCTCTGCCCCTCCCTCTGCTTGTGCTCTCTGTCAAATAAATAAATAAAATCTCAAAAAAAAAAAAAGAAATTAATGAAGAAAAATGCATTATACTGCTCTTATTTTTCTAAAATCTTTATGGAAAACTGTGAGACTTGCCCCTGTCCATACACAGACCTTTGGGAATCCCTAATCTAGTCCATTCCATGCACACCTTTACGCCCCCATCCCATCTCCCACAATGCAGCAATTGTATCCTCACCACACCAAAAAATCCCTTTAAATGTATCCCCCACCCACTGTGGGGAACTCCTCAAGCTGTGGAATCCATTAAATTTTGGAGTCTGTGGTAGAAAATCAGCAGAAGAGCTGCTGTCTCTGGGAACTTCAAGATGCTTACACTTGGCTTTTTTTTTTTAAGACCAGAATCTAACTGCAGAGAATTTTAAGTAGGCCAAACGTGCCTTAGAGTCACTAAACGAAAATGTCTAATAGTGCTGATTTGGGAGTCAGGCAGCCTGGGTTTTGATGGTGCATCAAAACTCCATTCTAAACCTTAGGGGATCTGTTTTCACATTCAACACATCTGGATTAGAGCTTTATGAATAGAAGTATTTAAATCGGAATTAGAGTAACATGGAGGAATTTTAGTTAAGATTATCTTTCGGGCTGAATTCCATTACTAATTACTTGATCAGCTTTCAAAGTTGTAGTTAAGTCTACATTTTTTTCCATTTCCATTTTAATGAAATTATTTTGAGAGATTCCGTTTAAATTTTTACAACTGAGGTTTGATTCATACTACAGATGATAGCATCAACTACAGAGCTTTCTTTTGTGATCACTACTACCAAGCTGTTTCCTCAGGTCAAATTTTGTCACCTAAAATGTGGCCAAGATTTGATTTTTTAAATCAATTTTTAGTAAAAAAAATTACTGTATAAAGGTTTACAACAACTTTAACGTTTACTTCTTTAAACGTTATCGATTTATTTTGTAATAGTTATTTCCATCCTGTGTTTTTTGGGTCAGCACTGCAGTTTTCAACATGACCAAGACATGATTATGGAGGGTTTTTTGCGGGGGGTGGGGTGGGTGGAATAAATAACCTCTACGGTGCAGTTTTTTCAGGGTTGTAAATTCTATTCTCTGTTGACTCATCCGCCAATAAAATTATGAATCGGGTATTAGGGTTTTTTCCCCCTGGGGACCAAATGTATCAGTGGAGCAACAACACAAAGGCATAAGATAATTCTGCTTTCCCTCTTTTCCCTTCCCGTAAAACGAGATTCTCCAACACTCCCTAGAGCGCAGAATCCTAATTCTTAAGACTTCATCAGTTACACTCTGCTAAAACCCGGAGCCCTGGCCAAACCCAGCCCGGCCAGGGCTGCTTTTCTCTTCCTCTCCACCAGAGGCGATAGCCTCTCGCAAAACAGAATTGGGCTGGAACAGGCCGGTCTGAGGGAGTGGCCCAGGGAAAGATCAAAGGTTAAAAATCGCCTCAAAGAGCAAAGGTCAAAACTCTCAAGGAAGCCAGAAGTTCCCATCCTCCACGAAGAATGAAGGTGACTCCGCCCTAACATGCTCTCGGGGCCCGATGTCGCGCGGCCTTTCAGAGACCAGGCGGGTCCGACGTGACTAACAGGTAGCTTGATCCGAACAGCGAACAACCGGAAATGGAAGTGAGCCCCGGGCGGGGGTGAGGAGAGGCCACCGCACGCCTGCGCAATCAGCAGGGTTACAGTACGCATGCGTATTTGGGCGATGACGGGGTGACGCTCGGAGCGTGGGCCGCGACTCTCACGGATCCGGTTCCGCCCTCCCTCTCGTTGCCGACCCTCCGGGGCTAGCGCCCGAGATCCCTTTCCCAGAGTGCTCTGCGCCGTGAAGAAGCGGCTCCCGGGGACTGGGGGCATTTTGTGTTGGCTGGTGCCGGAGTAACAAGATGGCGGCGTCGGCGGAGTGACAGGGGTCCCTCTGGGCGGGAGCCGGCGGCAGTGGTGGCAGCGGTATCGCCGCCCTAAACCACCGCGCCCCTTTTCCAGCCCGCGACGTCGCCGTGAAAGCGAGCCAGCGGCGGCCGCCCAAAAACAAGTGGCCCAGCCTTGTAACCGAGGGAACCCACTCACAAACTGCGGCCTGGCGAAAAAAAGCCTGATTGAGCGGCGGTGATCAGGTTCCCTTCGGCCGATTCTGGGCCCTGTAACGCCTTGAAAGAGCCACCGTTTTTCGTTTCCTGCCGCCCCCCTCCGCAGCCTTGTTCCGCGGACGAGCCCCTGAGGCCTCAGTCCTCCCCTCAGAGGTGTCGGGGCTTGGCCCCAGCCTCCATCTAAATCTCTCAGGATGGCGAGCAGCAGCGGCTCCAAGGCCGAATTCATTGTCGGAGGAAAATATAAACTGGTACGGAAGATCGGGTCTGGCTCCTTCGGGGACATTTATTTGGCGATCAACATTACCAACGGCGAGGTAATCACCCGGGGTGGGGTTCACGACCACGCTGCGCCAGTCCTCACCCCCTGCCCCAATCCCCAAAGTGCTGGGGCTTTTCCCTATCACAGGCACGTACTGGGGAGGGGAGTCCAGAGAGGGAGCCAGTTTCCCTGGCTTTAGGAGCCTCCCCCGCTCTCTTTCCCTAAAAGGCAAAGAACCCGATAGAAGGGTTGGGAGAACCTATGAAGTTTCCCAGCTTGTTAAAAATGTACCTTAATCGAACTTTTTAAGCTGTCGTTTTAAGGCGAGATCGGCAAAATCGTATTTCTCTAATCCCCATGTTTCCCCCACTATATGGATTTATTCTACTGGGGTTCTTGCTTTCGATCGTCAGTTTCCTTCAAAATCTCTCATTACGTTTTCTGGATGAATCATTTTCCTGCACCTTCGAGGACGTGCCGATTTCGTCATTACCCCCTGAAGAGGCCTTTGAGGCTGGTTGCCTCGTTTTATAATTACAAAGAGAGCTTTCTCTTCTGAGCCTCTCACTTCACCTTCTAGTCTCGAGTTGGAGCTTTGCTAATGTCTCCCCTCCTCTCCCAAGTGACATTGAATTCTTAGGGATGTTGATGCCATCATCCCCTCTCTCCCCTGCAGGAAGTGGCAGTGAAGCTAGAATCTCAGAAGGCCAGGCATCCCCAGTTGCTGTACGAGAGCAAACTCTATAAGATTCTTCAAGGTGGGGTGGGCATCCCCCACATACGGTAAGACCCCGTGAGCAAACAGGCGGTGCGCCGAGGGAAGTACGGCATGAGGGAAATGGGTAGAGGAAGGCAATAGCACCAGCTGATTCGGGCCTTGGTATCTGAGTTACCTGGGTTTACTATAGCCGGTGGTTTCCTGAGAACCGTAAGACACCACAGTCACTGAGTAAATTTTTAGTTTGCCAACTTCGTTTAGAATTTCAGTTTGTTACACTGCTCCATTTAGCTTCCCTCATTCTTCTCTCGAGGCTTTCATTTGCAGTTAAGTTAGGCGAGTCATCTTTGATCCCTACGCGGCTTGTCTGCTGCTTTCTTTACGCCGACACCTCTGATGTTCTTAGGTTTATCCAGTGAAGTGGATTTGAAGGTGCCAAGTGACCGGGTTCGGCCAGTTCGGGTTGCTATTGGAGTTGGCTTGGGAAATGGCTGCTCTTTTGTTGTGTTTTTGTTCCAACATGTCTTCCTCCTCCGCTTAGAAAATGGCGGAACGACGTGACTCAACCGCATATTCCTGCCCTTTCCTAGGCTTGGGTTCACAAGTTACTCTTCCTTGCTTCCCCCTTTAGCAGCTCTGAGTGGATTAAACCTTTGAAAAGCCAAGAATAAAGGTGCGGGCGGCGGTGGGGTTCAAGGAAGGAGATGGCATAATGACAGTCTGTTTGTGATCCCTGCAGCAGATGCGACATGAAATGAAATTATACTATGCAAAATCCCTCACAGTCCCTTTGTAAGTGTTAATTATTCTTTCATGAAGGATAATGTTGGCTACATTTCAGCTTGTGTACTAAATTTTGTAATGGCAAAGGCAGTCTGACCACTACTGTGTTGAAATTGACTCAAATCAGTTGTATTAAAAAGAAAGGTTAATCTCGTAACCACAGTGTGATGAGTAACTTTAACCTGTTGAGTTACTTGATCGGTAACTCCTCACATCAGGGAAATTGTGGCCTTTTGGGGGGATGGGATATTGGTGAAGGCAAACAGCAATAGTAATCAGGATAAAAGATGACCACATAAAGACATTGGATATTTTAAATGGTTAACTTTAAAGGTTGTGTTTGACTTTGAGATTAAAAAGCATCTTCCTGGAGTAGAGGCTAAAATGTAGTGTAAAGCCAAGCCATGTTTCAACACGTAAAAATAACATTTGTAAAAAAGAACCAGAGACAGTTAAGAATTAAGTGGAGTGATAGTTAACGTAATTTCTTTTTCTATTCCAGTTTATATTCCTTAAATCTTGAATTAAGTACTGAATTGCATACATTAATTCAGCTGTGGAAGCAACCCAAGTAATACTATCCTTAAAAAAAATCTCCAGTGCTGATAGATGTTTTTAACGGAGAAGTTGAATGATAAAATATTCTCTTGGTTGTGAGAGATAAATTATTTAGAAGAAACTTCCAGGTTTATTTTGTAAGGTAGATTAATGTGAAATCCAAGATGATGGGAGATTTTAAATGATTCCTATCCGCCCCGCCCTCCAAAAACCTCCTGCTGGGAAAATGAATGTTACTCTGGAAGAATGAAAAAAAATTTTTTTAAAGAATGAAAGTCTTTATTAAAATGTCTAGCTTTTTATTTCCTCAAAATAAAAAGTCCATTGCATTAGCCAAAAAATTTAAAACGGCTTTCCTTTTGCCTTTAAACATATCTCTCCACCCCTGGCCCCCCCGATTTGCTTTCTGTACTGTAGTTTTTCTTAGAATTACACATAAAATGCAATCATACAGTATGAGGTCATTTGTGTCTGACTTCTCTCACCATAATGCTTTTGAGATTCATCCATGTTGGGAGGTTTTAGAAATTTCACAAATTATGTTGAATTTAATGTATTAGAAATAATTTTCAAAAAGCATTAAGCATCTGGCATTTTCATTGCTAAACCCTTTTATCTGGTAGCTTTTATTTAAAGGCAGTGCTGATAACAGACCAACAAGAGCCATAGGTAATATACTGAATAAGCACATGAATAAATGAAATTAACTTGTGAGCCCGGAATAACAGGCATCTATTATAAGATGTTGAGTGCAGAGAGTTGTAGTTGTTAACTGGGTGGAGCTAAAGAGAGATTAACCTGGCTTTCAAATTAACGCTTCCTGGGAGAAGAGATGGGATTTCAGGATCCGGATGTAAGGAAGAAAGCTTGGTTGAACTGGTTGGGGAGGGCATCCAAGAATACAGTGTGGCTTCTGGGAGTAGTCTCTAATCAGAAGGTAGTAATTGGATGAGGGTGGGGAAAGAGTAAATTTGTTTTAGGAGTGGTGGAGTCTGGTACATAGAAACAATAGTGGTTCATTGGTTGTAAAGTGTGAGAGAACTGTTTTTCTACTGAAGTGAAAAGGGTAGAAAGACTTTACATAAGCATTCTTTATTTGGGTGGCAACGTCTTCCCATCCCCTCAGTTTGTTCCCCACTATTTCCACATCACCTATATATAGCATACAGGTAAATATTTGGTAAATATTGAACTATTTTGACTTTAGTTTATTGAGATTTAATGAAGCAGTCTATGTGTTATCCATTGTTTTAGATGGATGTAAATATATTTAGATTTGGGATGCCTGGCTGGCTCAGTTGGTAGAGCATGCAGCTCTTGATCTTGGGGTCATGAGTTCAAGCCCCATGTTGGGTGAAGAGATTACTTTTAAAAAACAATTTGGATTTTGCTGTAATTACACTTAATTCCATCTTCTCCCCTGCACTCCAAACCCCTTGAATTTACTAAGATACTTTCGGATATCCTAAAACAAGGGCCGAAAATGATCTAGCCCACATAGCCGACCTGACTCATTTTTACTTGGTAAGGGATCTGTTGTTAATGCAGAAGCATGGCATTCAGGGTAAAGAGCGGAATGAGGTAGGGTTTAGTCTCCATGTTTTTAAGAAACTAGGGTCATTCTTTAGTTAAGAAACTGAAATCGTTAATTGACTTCTGGAAGCTCATTAAAAATTATTTCTGTTACAATCTTCTTTATCTTTGTGGTACTCAGTTTGAATCGAAATAATGTGATCTCTAAAGAAGCACTTATGATACCAAGCTCTAGGTCTATCATGTGGTATTGACAATGATCTTGGGTCAGTCAGTCCTTTAACCTCTTTGGGTCTATCAGTTAGTTTGCTCATCTGTGAAATGCAAAGAGGATTTTACCATGTTAGTAATTTTCTAATTCTTTTGGAATAGGAAAGAAGAATACTGGACAGAAAAGTTTAGGGTTTCCTACTCTTCTAGAAAAAGTTTTGCATACTGAGCTTTCAGGTAGGGTTTTATTTGAACAGAGTTCCCTGGTTAAATAAGTCACCTGCCTCGTTGGATCTTGGAACTTCTAGCTCTGAAATTTTGAGACTTCTTTTTGGATGATGGTAGCTAGAAAGCATTTCATCACAGTTTGATGTTAGGTCTAGATCTTATCTGACTCTTAGTACAGAGACCCCTCTCAAGACTCTTAAAAATGCCATCTGCATCAGATAAACTGTCAGTTACCATTTAAAAGGAAGTAAATTAATGGAATATATTTTTATAGGGAAATGAATAGAGAAGATGGGAGGGGCATGGGAGAATTGTTGCCTTGTTTTCAACCACTTTTTTGCCCTCTCTGAATGGCAAGTATTACAGAAGATATTTATAAAGTACTAGTTAATCCTTACTCTTCAGTGTTAAAAGCAGCTTAAATTTTAATCTTAGCTTTTTGGCACTGAGCATATGTCTTGCAAATAAGTTCTAATGCTGTTATCAGAGAACAAAGATGACATCTGCACTGGATACGTCTTTATTTATTACAGATTACTGGGTGCATGAGAAATGTGATTTTTAACTCGTAGAAACTGAATCTCTCTATATATACTACTATATATACATACGTATTATATGCATACAGAGTATACTAAAGGTGCTTTATATCGGTTTATAATGGATTTCTAGTTGCGGAATAATGTAATGATGCTTAAGTAGCATTTGTGAGCTAAATGAAACCTGAATACAGCCTAATATCTCACAAATTAGATTACTGAGTCTCTGAAGGGTTACTAGAGTCTCCTAACTCCTAATTTTTCTGAGCCATTTCCACCTTTATGTCAAGGTCAGCATGCCTGCTCACAAACCCCACACCTTTTCATTTGATGCTACAGAGCCATACTATGCCTCCTTCACTTTATGGCATTTGGCCTCATTCAGAGAAAGTGAAAACCTCTTCTATAAATGTAAGTAACTTTATTTGACAGAGAGAGAGCAAGAGCAGGAGCACAAGCAGGGGGAGTGGGAGAGGGAGAGCAGGCTTCCTGCAGAGCAGGGAGCCCGATGAAGGGCTCGATCCCAGGACTCTGGGATCGTGACCTGAGCCGAAGGCAGACGCTTAACAACTGAGCCACCCAGGTGCCCCATAAGTAACTTACTGTTTGTGTTATTATTTAACTAGATGCTTATAAATTTTTTTTTTTAAAGATTTTACTTGTTTATTTGACAGGGAGAGACACAGCGAGAGAGGGAACACAAGCAGGGGGAGTAGGAGAAGGAGAAGCAGGCTTCCCATTGAGCAGGGAGCCTGATGTGGGGTTCGATCCCAGGACCCTGGGATCATGACCTGAGCCGAAGGCAGAGGCTTAATGACTGAGCCACCCAGGCGCCCCTAAAAAGATCCATTTACTTTAGAGAGAGAGCAGGGAGGGGCAGAGGGAGAGGGAGAGAATGAGAATCCCAGTTAGACTCCCTGTTGAGCGGGAAGCCTAATGTGAGGCTCAGTCTCAACCACAAAGCCATGACCCGAGCTGAAACAAAGAGTCGGACACCTGACTGAGCCACCCAGGTGCCACCCCTTAATAGTTTTCAAAATATAAGTGAATACCTAGTTAAAATGATGGGTTTTGTTTTTTTTTTTTAATTTTATTTATTTATTTGACAGAGAGCAAGAGCAGAAATACAAGCAGGGGGAACGGGAGAGGGAGAAGCAGGCTTCCCACCAAGCAGGGAGCCCGATGCGGGGCTTGATCCCAGGACCCTAGGACCA